GCTGCTGCGTCTTGCTCCACATCAACGGCACCCCCCCAGCTCCCCAGGTACTATTCCACATCCCGGATACGGCAGTGTCACGCCGTCTTGGGGTTGACTTGCCTGAAAGCAGAGAGTCACACCGGACCAGCACTCCTGTCCACCCTGAATGCACAGGTGGATCAGTGGCTGACTCTGCACCAACTGGAGATCGGCAAAGTGGTTTGTGACAACGGAAGAAATTTGTTGGCGGCATTGCATTTGGGCAAGTTGACACATGTGCCGTGCATGGCACATGCGTGTAATCTGATTGTGCATAAGTACCCAGGCTTACAGGGTGTCCTGAAGCAGGCCAGGAAGGTGTGTGGCCATTTCAGGCGTTCCTACACGGCCATGGAGCACTTTTCAGATATCCAGCGGCGAAAAAACATGCCAGTGAGGCGCTTGATTTGCGACAGCCCGACACGTTGGAATTCAACACTCCTAATGTTCGACCGCCTGCTCCAACAAGAAAAAGCCATTAATGAGTATTTGTATGACCAGGGTGCTAGGACAGCCTCTGCGGAGGTGGGAATTTTTTTGCCACGTTACTGGACGCTCCTGCGCAATGCCTGTAGGCTCATGCGTCCTTTTGAGGAGGTGACAAACCTAGTCAGTCGCACCGACTGTCTATATGTCTATATTGTCTATATTGTTCGGTTCAAACTGTTGAGAATGAATGTATTTGTGTACCGAACGCGGACCACACACCCTGGGTAGCAAGTAGCAATTAGAACACAGAGAAAACCGCAACTTAATTGCTACTAGGTGGCCGCCATTCGACATACGAACACGTGGCGAGAACAAAGGATGGCGGCCATCTTAAAACTCACGAATGCGGTCAGCGGGGCTTACGCATGAATTGCATGGAACTGTTTTCGGTATTGGGACCATGCGAACGTCCGGTCCCCATGGAAGTCCTGGATGAATACGTTCCTCTGCACGAATCAAACTGGCGTTCGGTAGATAGTATCTACCAAATGAGGGGAACATTCACAGGTAACCAGCTGAACCATATGAACGGTGGTTTTCGTGTAGTTAGATGCGAACGGAGACCGGCTCTTGCTACTGATTCTATGGAACTGTAACTCGGATACCTCCACATGGCAAGCCGGTCAAACTTCCACACGATGCGTCACGGAAACTACCGAACGGAAATTCGTGAGATTTGGATATGTGACTACCAGTATCCTCAGCTACCCAGGGATGTCAAAAGTATATTTGTATGTCTTATAAAAAGTATGTTTCTGAAATTGTTATAAATTGTAATGTTTCTGGCCAGCAGATAATTGAGCTTTGTGTATTGTAGAAACTCAATTATCTAGCCTGGCCCAGAGGAGGAGTTTTGTGTTGCATAAATTGTGAATTCTGTGTGCCAGTAAATCAGTCTTGTTCCAGCATTAAGCTTTGGCTCATGTGTGGATTATTCGGCGATTCCAGGGATATTTCTGCTTATGGAATATTGAGTGCTTTTCTTTTATGGGAAGAAGGGAATGCTTGACGGGGATATTTTCTACTACCGTCACAGGCTACTAAACTGGTTCATGGATTGCGGGATAAAACTTACCAGGAAAGGTTAAAGGATCTTAACATGTATAGTTTGGAGGAAAGACGAGACAGGGGGGATATGATAGAAACATTTAAATATATAAAAGGAATCAACACAGTAAAGGAGGAGACTATATTTAAAAGAAGCAAAAACTACCACAACAAGAGGACATAGTCTTAAATTAGAGGGACAAAGGTTTAAAAATAATATCAGGAAGTATTACTTTACTGAGAGGGTAGTGGATGCATGGAATAGCCTTCCAGCTGAAGTGGTAGAGGTTAACACAGTAAAGGAGTTTAAGCATGCGTGGGATAGGCATAAGGCTATCCTAACTATAAGATAAGACTAGGGACTAATGAAAGTATTTAGAAAATTGGGCAGACTAGATGGGTCGAATGGTTCTTATCTGCCGTCACATTCTATGTTTCTATGTTTCTATGTCCTTAAGGGGTTAAACAGTAACCTTTCTTAAACATTTTTTTATTATACTTCACACAGTAAATACCTAGTGAAAAAAGTCAAATAGAACCTAAAGTCTAAAAAAGTATCTCTTTATTCAGGGCTATAAGTTCCCTTGTGTCACTGTGACAACTGGCAGAAGTGTCTCTCATGACTATCAGGAAGACCACCAATAGATGGGAATTTAGCCCTTCAATTTATAAACATTACTGTTTCTACAATAGGTAATGTTTTATACTGGAGGGTTAAAATGACAAGGACACTGTATCCAGACCATTTCATTAAAATGTTCTGCATGACTTTTGGTGGTGCTGTAAATCAAGGTGGGCTTCAAGGATAGCTGTGTCTACAATGGCTGCAGAAACCTATTGAAGAAAAGGGGAACAAAAGAGATATACTCTGTCCAGTGGCCAAGTGTAAAATTAAAAAATAACTTTTAATGTGTTAGTAAAAAGGCTAGGATAGTAGCCAGCTCATAACGAGTAACAAAAAATCGAACCAGAGAAGGAAAGGGTAAAGAGAGAAAAATTTATACAAAAGATAAGCTGATTATAACTTAAAAATTATTATTTAAGGGACTAGGGAACTTCCGGTCGCATGTTGTAAAAGCTCAGTGATCGGATCGGCCTGAAAAGTGACATAAAAGAGACTGGAAACAGATAACAAACGCCTTATGGAAAAGATTGCGGACCTGGAGGACCGTTCCCGCCGCAATAATATCCACGTGCGGGGAGTGCCGGAAAAAATAACGCACGAGGAACTGCCGTCCTATTTAATGCAGCTCTTCCAGGCAATTCAGCCTGCCCTGGACCAAGCGGACCTCCACCTCGACCGGGCACACCGCGTACCAAAACCCAATAACCTCGCACAAGATGTCCCAAGGAATATAGTGACTAGACTTCACTACTACAGTGCCAAGGAAGCCATACTTACGATGCAAAGAAAGGCCTCTGCGATGCCACCCACCTACGAGGAGATATCCCTGTATGCTGACCTATCACTGATGATGATGTCCAGGAGACGGGATTTTATTAACGTTACCAAATGCCTCAGGAATCACAAGGTGCCCTACAGATGTGGATTCCCCACAAAGCTCCTTATATGGCAGAATGGCTCCCTCACCAAAATTGAAGATCCGGCTCAGGGAATGGAAAAGCTCAAGACCTGGGGACTGTTCCCCGACGAAAAAGTGACCGCATCCCCGGCCTCCCCACGAAGAGTGGCCACAAGCTGGAACAAAGCTTAGCAGCTGATGTTAATAATGAGATGAAGCTACCGCTATTGCCTACTCTGGCCAGCTCCAGTTGACCCCCCATGGGCGGCACGACCACGTAGGTTGACTCTTCCTTCTAAGGAGCAGCGGGGCACAAGGGGCTTTCCACCCTCACGTGAGTACATTTTGCCCCCCCCCCCAGTCGCCCAGCTTACGAGACACTATCTCTGTTACCATCCCACGCCCCGAACAATGCCCCACTCATATGCCAAGCAACTTGTCCGAAGGAGTGACTGTCACGGGCTTCAAATGGAGCTGGGCGAAGGGGCTTTCCACCCACGATCTACACCTTTGTATGCCCCACGGAGAACTGACAAGGTGCAAATGTTGGTCAGAAATTAAAAATCGGGCCCTACTGGTTCTGGCTTTTGACTAATCTCCCACTGGACTCTTGCAAGGGCCAACCCCTCTCCTTTTCCCATCTGTTATAGGTGGTTGGGTTCTGTAAGGTGTAAAGGCCCCACCGACTACCAGTAACCGTCCCGAAACTCGCTCGGGACACCACCCGCCGCTGTAGCCCCCTCTCAGAGCAGTAGAGGGTGCCCGCTAGGTGGTGGGTTCCTCCAGATAATGCTTCTTAGCTATTTGCTATGTATATATTTTGATTGTGTTGCCTATCTTGGTTGTTACTGTTGTACTTTATGTTGTACCTTAAGCCCCAAAGCCCCCCCTTGAGATGCTCCCTCCATACCACAATGTGAGAATCAGGAAATCCACTAATCTCCCTCAGCCAACCTACGGAGATGTAAGGCAGACACCAGCACCCACTCAGATATGCACCCTACCCTTGCAGCAATGACCCCCCCTTACCAATTTCGCTTGGTGTCCCTAAACGCTCATGGCCTAAACACCCCGCAAAAACGAATGCTGGCCATGTCCTTACTAAGGATCATCCATGCCTCTGTTGTATGAAAACAGGAAACCCATTTCTCGATTAAGAACCCCCCAAGGTTTTCGTCCACCTCCTATCCATTAGCATATCATGCCCTAGTGCCCAACAAGACAAGGGGAGTTAGTATACTATTTCATTCTGACTGGCATTTCCAATGTGAAGAGGAGTACAAAAGCTCTGACGGTAGGCTCCTGATTTTAGTGGGGCTCCTCAATGACGCCCAGGTGACTATAGCAAACCTATACGCTCCCAACGCCAACCAATACAACTTCCTCCAGAAGGCCCTGGGGCGGCTTGACAAACTAAAAAAGGGGCAGACACTCACATGTGGGGATTTTAACTCTGTCCTAGACCCTGATTTAGACAGGTCGGGCAGCCCAGGCCCTCAATCTTGGGAGAGAAACTATCGTCACTCCTCCACTAACACGGCTTACATAACACATGGCAGGCACTCTACCCAGCCTCTAGGGATTACACCTTTTACTCTAGGGTTCACGATCAGTACTCCCGCATAGACATGTGCCTGGTAGACGCTAAAACCCTGGATACCTGAGGTCAATATCGCCCCGATCACTTGGTCGGTCCATGCCCCCATCACATCATCATTCACCACATTACACCCAGTTCAAGGGAGGGGTCAGTGGAGACTTAACGAGTCCCTGATAGACAACCGTGAGAGGGCGGCCAAGATCAGGAGGTCCCTTGTAAATTACTTTGTGGATAACCAATACACCGACACAAACATTACCACGACGTGGCTCGCCCATAAGGCAGTCACGCAAGGTATGCTAATACAACAGGCGGTGAAAATGAGGCGCCAAATCTCAGAGAAAAGCAGCTCCTTACTGAAAGAACTAAAACAGGCCGAAAAGCAACACAAAGCCTCACCCACTGAACCCCACAGACTAGAGGTCCACAAAATTAGGACCAGCCTAGAAGCCCTACAAATGCAACAAGTAGAACGTGCTATCAGAAAATTGAAAACAATCTACTACAGACAGGGAAATAGGGTGGGCAAACTACTGGTGTCTGAGCTCAGGGAACGAACCTCCCAGATAAAATTCCCGGTTACTAAATAGAAACAGTTTTGTATACAGTACACAGGGGCAGGCTATTTGCATAGGATAGAGTAATGAAAGACAGAGTTTTAATGTTTGCTGCACTTACGTAAGGGGGAATTAGCCTAGGTGGGCCATGTACCATCCGGTAAAGTAAGCCCTTGGAAAGTCCGCTCTCAAGGCTGAGGTAACGGCAGTATTTAGCGCCAGGGGTATCTTGCTTTAGTAAGAGAGTATATCATTCTGCTTGATACTTATTCCTTTTAGTGGATGATACATGAGCTCCACTCTAATAGATGAAGATCGATTGACCAGAGACTTCTACTGGGCAAGATGTTAGGAGTTAACTTGTGTATGTGATACTGCAGACTCTTTCTATTATCACCATTCTCCATTCAGAGCCATAGCTCCCAGATAGAAAGATCAAGTTTTTTTGTGAGCTGGATATTTAAGACTGTTTCTATTTAGTAACAATATGTTTATTACCCACCAAGTTAGGGCAATGTGTGTGGCCTCTTCTCATTTTGTTTTGAGTTTGAGAAGTATGGCAACTTTTTAGCTGCATTGTAGACTTTTCTTCAATAGGTTGCCACAGCCATTGCAGACACAATTATCCATTTAATCCACTGGGTATTCACTGTGTGAAGTTTCATGTGCAATTGTTCAATAAATAATACTCATTTAACTGTTTTCAGGTGATTTATTTGTACTTCACATATTTAAGAACCGTTAGTAGTAGATATCGTTTTGTGCAGGCCATTTTGATTCAGGGTATATCCCTTGTTTCTTTGATTTTGAGTTACGTGAAGTAGTTTTTTATGTCTGTCTTACAACCCAAAGATAAAATAACACACTTACACTACTATATAAGTAGTATAATATAGTATAATATAAATACATATTAACTATGAATTTTTTTAGGGAAAAATTAATTATGTAAAATTATAAAAAACATGCACAGCTAGTATGTAAACGTCAGGAAGAAAACAAACAAAAAAACTAAATGTTGTGAATATATTTTTTTTTATAAAATAAAATTATTGGAATAATTTACAGCAATTTTTTTTCAATGTATTCACTCTTCAAATAAATATGGTGTGAAGGGGTTAAAGAAAAAACCTTACTGTTGGGTTTGTTTTGTTATATTTCAGGCAAGGTGTAAATTTATGTTCATTTTTAGTGAGACAAAGTAGGTTATTTAATAGCCTTAAATAACAAACAAAAGTTGCATAAATCTTGCAGTTTATGACCCACGGACAAGTAAAACACATTTATGGATCCATTTATTTGTGCACATAAAAAACAGCATATGCATGACATACCTTAATGCTTGTACTTCTTTTAAAATACCCATGAGGTTTACTTATCTGAATCATGGCACTGGAGGATAATGTACATGTACAATTCAAATTTAATATATTAACTGGCCAACCTTTTAATGGATTGAATAATCGTAGATACGTGAGACCAGCCCCATGCTCATCAAAGTGAATATGACAACCCACCTTTACACCTTTGCCGATAGTGGGATTGCACATGTGCTATCGATTAATCAATTTGAAGGTTTAGCAGCCGCTGGTGAAAGATGAGACAGGGTTGGAACCAGTTCTTCCCATAAACAATACCAGAAGCTAGCAACTGTTTTTTTAGTATCAGCTGCCAGTAATTCCCTGTAACTACATGTGAAATTGGCAAATGAAAATAGTAACTTGCTAAAAGTACCGACAAGTATGCATGCCAAAACTGGTGTACAATTTCCACACGTACATTGCTTTACTAAGTCTGTGTTTCTTTATGAGTGTTCTTAAACTTGCTCTGAGATAGTAACACATTAGATATGGACACTAGTAAATACCATTTTAACATGACTTGAATGTCTCCTTTATGTTTTTAAAGACTTACTTCACCTTAAAGCTGCACTGTCACCCCCATATTAAAAATTGAGTATTTTGTATGATAGTATCTTTTGAAATACTCATTATGGCTGTGTTGGGATTTGACTGCAGTACCAACCCAGCCAAGAGAAATACAGAGACAAAGTGGGGACTACATAGGGACTACTTTGTCTCTGTATTTCTCGTCCGCCTGACATTTCCTGACACAAGACAGAGCCTATGTGTCAAGGCTTCCAGTCGTCATCAGTGATGGCTGCAGGGACTTGGCTCTGTCTATGAAGGATCCAATGGTCTCGCCGGAATCCTTGAAGGCCTCAATGCTGTACTCCCGCACATTTTACCCCAACGGGGACAGTGCCTTATTAACTAAGCTAAGAGTTCCCAACAGAGACATTTTGTCACACTAGCAGTCAGCATTATCCCTATTTGAAAAGTTGGGAAATGGACTGTTGAAATACATTTAAGATTGATTTAGGAACAGCTGCACTAATAACAAAATAGAACATCACTGGAGCTATCTTCATCAAAGTTCCAAAGATGTGAAAGGATGATGTTGTGTCGGGCACTTATACTTTGCATTTAGTACTAAGATTAATTTAATTGTTATTTGTTTTTTTTTTATTTAATTGCATGTAAGAAGAAAAAATCTTTCTTCTTTTTCTGGTCAAAAGTTCCAATGTTTTCATCACATTCAAACCCACCAGAAACAACATCTTTTTAAATCATTAATGTCATTGCATGGCTCCAAGGTTAGATCTTTCTTAAGTATATCTGAAAAAAGAAAACGGCATGAAACACTCAAATGTTTGTCCAAAGTTGCTTTGCATGCAGATATCCTTAGGGATGGTCATTAAACACTGTCCAAATAGACATCGATATAAAGGAAAACAATGATGCAGTCATAAAAAGGTATAAAAACCTGCATAAAAAAAGTATAAACAGTGATTTCATTTTAAAACGTAGATTTTTACCTGTAGACAAACTGCATGTTACTGTATTGTAATGTCTCACTAGGTATTCATTTTGAAAATATTTTTTCTTGATCATATTTGTTTTTTTGTTCCGATTGCTCAGGCTACTGTGCACAGGGGTTTCGTGGTAAGCATATGAAATGCTTTTCAAACATTATCTCAATGCACAGCACAATCTGGCGCTCTGTGTATATCCTTTAATCAATAGGTCTTATTATGCCCATACACAACCATAGATATTGTGAAAATTCATAATGAAGAAGTTAAACAGTATTATTCTCAAGTCCAATTTCCATTTCAGACAGAGATTGGTTTGGAACACTGTTAGCCTCAACATACAGTAGTTTTCAGGGATTTCCCAGTAATGTCCAACAAGTAAACACAGTTTGGGCAATTTTGCTAACAGGGTTATTTACTGTGAGAATTCTTGGGAGCCTAGTAGTATCGAAAAACCTTAGAAATGTTTATACTGTTTACTATGGACCTGTGCGTCCAGACATGTTAATAATGCTGGTCCTGCAAGACTTATCTATAACTGTTAAAGCGGACCTGCGTGTCCGAGTATATAACTTTCAATACACGCATATCTGATGAATAAAAACTTAGTTAAAAAAAAAAAACTATTTCACTGCAGTTATCATGGCCTTTAACTCCCAATAATTAGTGTCTCTCTGGGCAGTATTAGCAGCCATTTAATCATTCACTGTCTGATCCCATTGGTATCCAAATCCTGTATCACCCTGTACCTCAATCAACTCCAATTCCTTTATCTTTCTAGGTCACATTCATCTATTTCATATTTGGAACGCCCTTTCTCTGTTAGACTTTCACCCAGTCTCCATTCCTTCAAAAAATCTTTAAAAACTCACCTTTTCAGCAAAACATATGAATTAAACGGTCAACAGCTTTCCCTCCCCGCACCCTGATTCCTATCCTGCAACTGTCATCAAAACAAAACACTACGTCCTCAATGAATACCATCTTAGCAAGCTACCTTTCTACCCTGCCCTTACCTTTCGTGTCACTTCACCCCACTCCCTCTAGCATGTAAGCTCATTGAGCAGGACCCTCAACCCCTCTGTTCCTGTGCGTCCAACTCATCTGGTTACAAATACGTGTCTGCTAGTCCACCCACTGTAAAGCGCTGCATAATGCTGCTCCCACCTATCTATCCTCCCTTATACACAAGTATGCCCAGTCAGATCCTTACGATCTGCTGAAGACTTATGTCTATCTTCTGTCCGTACTCCCACCTCTGATGCTTCAAGATTTCTCGAGGGCTGCACCGTTCCTGTGGAACTCACTTCCCTCCTCCGTTAGATGCTCACCCAGTCTCCACTCCTTCAAAAAATCGTTAAAACCCACTTCTTCATAAAAGCGTATCAATTAAACTGTTAATAGCTCCCGACTGATTCCTCTTCTGCAACTGTCACTAGTCTAATACGATCCTTACCTTTTTGTGTCATTTTACCCCACTCCCTCTAGCATGTAAGCTCATTGAGCAGAGCCCTCAACCCCTCTGTTCCTGTGTGTCCAACTTGTCTGCTTACAACTACATGTCTGTTCGTCCACCCATTGTAAAGCGCTGTGGAATTTGACGGTGCTCTATAAATATCATAATTATAATAATAATAATAATGCACATTTTAGCTTGTGGTTTTTCCTGAGAATCATACTTTTCATAAGAAAATAACAGTATTGCTTAAAGATTTCCTGAAGTAAGAATGTGTTTTTTGTGACATTCATAAAATTCTGTAACTTCATTGTGACATTCAACAAAGTGGAAAAATTATTGAAATGTCTCTTTTTTTTGTGGTAGAATGACTTTGAATAGAAAAAACATAATACACTGAAAATATAACTGTTATAAAAAAATGCTAATGCTATTAGTAATACATTATACATACACAGTTTGTATTGTTTATTTTATATATATATATATATATTACTAAGAAATATTAACATTCTCTTTTATAGTTTCTTCTTAATATATATTCTGTTCTCATGCATCTGCTTCTTTTTGCTATCTCAGGGTTCTATTCTCAGCCTTTGCTATTTTCCAGTGACACCTCTTCTCATGACAAAC